CCTCCTCTGGAAAAAGAATGTTGGTCTTACCTGAACGTGTCTTTTAAGAGGAGGGGAGGGAGTGGTCATGACCCGCCCTGGGTTGTGTTCCGTTGGGGCCAAGGGGAGGGCCCGGGTGGTCCCGGGGGTTTGGTTGTTTTTTTTTGTTGTTGTTTCAGTTGTACTGTTCGACTTCGAGGAAACTGGGCCAGGATTGGAAGGCACCAGTATTTAAGACTTTGCTCTCATTCCTTGGACCAATCAGGCTTTGAGAATACCCACAGGTGACCACTCCCTCCCCTCCTCTTAAAAGACACGTTCAGTTAAGACCAACGTTCTATCTATAAAAATTGCGGCACTTGCATTATGATGTAATTTGGTCACTTCTTTCCTCCCGTCCACAGATACCCATCACTGGCCATTTAAATTTAAATAAACTAGGTATTGCTTGATGTAATTATATTCTCCTTTTGGAGAAGACTTGGACAAAACAGGAGCAGAGTTTCTTAGTGTTATTTGTCAGCACTTTTTTGGCTTTCACTTGGTAGTTGGTATAATTGTTCATTTTTTTATTTATCTTTTGATCATATTTAAATAAACTCCTTTGTTAGTAATACTAGTATGTTTTCCTTTCAATTTATTCTGAGCTTTTGCTTTGCAACATTTGTAAAGATTTTCTTGATTGTACCCCTCTGTGTCTAATATTTCATGGAAAGTTTTAACAGTAGTTAAAAACAATAAAACTAAACTAAAATTAAATAGTTAAACAAACTGAAGTAGAACAAAAAAGAAGGGAAGAAATAATTAAATGTGCAAAAGGAGTACAAAGTAGAAAAATGAAGTCATAGCAATCTTTACAGCAATTATAGGTACAATTATATTTTAATCTCTCAAATTATTTTCTTTCTATAATTTATCCTGTCTAATCATAAAATCCATAAACCACTCACGTTTTTCTTTTTTGCACAAAAAAGTCTATAAGATATTTTCAATCACCAATAATGTAAATATTTTCTCTAATTAAACAATCTATCCATTTAAGCAAGTTCTGTCATTTTTATCAACTATTTATCCATTGTAAGTATTATCAGATCTTTCCTTTTTTTATACATACAATGATATCACTGTAGTTATCATATCTACTAAATGTTTATCCTTCAGTTCCAGGAAGATTTCTGAAAATTTCTGATTTCAATTGAATATTATTCTTTAAAATCCTCTGAATCACTGTATGTATTGGAATCCAAAATTTTCTAGCTTTTTATACATTCCAGCAATCATGATAAAATGATTCTTCTGATTATTTACATTTTCAAATTTGATGTATCTTTATACATCTCAGATTATTTTTCTGGTGTCATATATCAATGGTACATGACTTTAGAAAAATTATCTTTAAGATGGTAATGCAAATTTTAATCCTGTCAACACATTTTTCCCGTTGTTCCATTTGTACATCTTAACCAAAGTTTTTTACCCACTCTATTGTACATTCTTTGACCTGTTCCTTTTTGTTTCAAATTTCAATAAAAAATTGACAGTTGACAATTATATGTTCGTTATTTCACACACAATCCCTCTCAAATTCTGTCCTATATTGTTCAATATCATGAATTCATTTATCTACTTTAAACCTTTCTGATAATTGTAAGAAAGCCATTGACAATTATGTCTCTCTTAGTCTTTAGATTTCATTTTTTATTCCCATTTATCAAATTCTATTATCTCATATTATTTGAACCATTTATCCTTACTTGGTTATACTTTTTTAAAAAATTTCTGGTCATCATATATAATAAGTTCATTATTTTTAAGATTTTTTACACACTTGTCTAACTGCATTGTCTCTTTTCTTTTAAAATGATTCATTAAAATTATTTGTAATTTTAATATGTACTTTTTAATAAATATTCATGTCTTTCCATTAGATTCTTTTAATCTTGTTATCAGTGCTCTGCTTTTTTGACAGTCTAAAGTACATGTTTCCTTTATTCAGTTTAAAATCAAGAATTCCAGCAGAATATAATCGTTTCCTCCATTCCTATTTTGACAAGTATCTCAGCTGGGTTATTGATTGATCTCAAATTAAAGATAGGTTAAGAGATATAATGTGCTTGACAGATTCTTTCTAGATAGTTATCTCTGATACTTAATTATGTGTTTTTATTTGTGTGTGGTTGAAATTTAAAAAAAACCATTCACATGAAATACCTGTTGATCATAGTAAGTGGATACATAACAATTTGAATGGCTAAATGCAGTCTCATTATGAAAAATTCCAATCTCTATACTGTAGAATAAGCTGTTCTAAAATAGATCAAAGACTTGTGAGAGTGAAAAACTTGTGATAATATTATAAGCCCTCACCCCCTTACTGAAGATATTTGTGTCTTGCAAAAGCCTTTGTCAATGAAAAATTGAAAAAAAATTCAAACTGAATTGATCTTTGTAGTAGGTCTCTGAATGTAAGATGAATGCCAACATCGTCTTCAATATTTCCATATAATAGACTAGTTG